CGGTGACAACCCGGGCTGGACGAGGAGGCGTGGAGGGGCGGGGGGGGGCGGAGTGGGGGGCGGGGAGGGTGGGGGGGGGGGGGGGGGGGGGGGGGGGGGGGGGGGCTAGAAAAAGGAACACTGCGTGAAATTGCTTAATTTATGCCCCACTGATCAAAATCTCTGGAGAAGCTGACAGAAGGCGCAACGTTCAGAGCCGTGGGTGGTTTATTGTAGATTTCTGCCGGTTGTTCGGCTCTAAAATGAGAAGAAAACACTAAAATAAAAGTTGTAACAATTCAGCTCAGACTTTAGGTGGTGGTCCTGCTGAGCAAATTGAAGCTTTCTTCTTTTTTCTGTAAGGCAGACAATGAAAGACCAAGTCCTACATTCAGAGCTGCTGCCTTGGAGAAAATTACCCTCGCAGATGTTCGCTGCTTCGATCACACGTTGGAGACTGACTAAACCTCCACACACTGTTTGAAAATGAGAGTAACTACCGTACGGTCACTAGAGCTAAAGAAAACTCACAATACGTTTCATGTCTCTTTTTTGTGTAAAAAGCTAGAACATATCTGAAAACAATGCATCTTATGTGGCCAAGATTTCAAATCCTCAGAAAAAAAAAGTCAAGTTTGGGTTGATTTGAATATTTCCTCCCTGATATTTAATAAATAAATATTAACTATATAAAAAAATAATACAAGAAGCAGAGACTTCTTTTAATATGTTCTGCGCATTATTTCTGGAAAAATTGTAATTTGCTGCTAAAAGACTGAGAGCGGAATGAATTAGCTGATATTTGTTAACGAAACTTAAAGTGATTTAATAAAGTAGCTAAAAGCTAAAACTAGCATAACGGGAACTAAAAGCTAAAACCAACAGAACATTAATGAAGAGCTAATTTTAATACAAACAGTTACTAAAATTTCAAACTAGCAAAAAACAATTAAAACCTAAAAAAGGCTAAACTGTAGCTGAAAGCTAAAATGATAACAGCAATCGCTAAAATTATTAAAACTAGATAAAACTAGCAAAACAGTTTCAAAAAAGCTCAAACTAGCAAAAACAAAAGGTGTTGACCAAAATGCTATAGATGTAAAAGGTGCAAATTAGCAGCTAAAAGCTAAAACTAGCCAAATCAATCAACCTTTATTTATTAGTAGCTAAAAGCTAATACTGAAGCAAGTATACTGAAGAGGAATGTAAAGAGCAAAGCTAGTCAAGGTTTTGAAGTAGTTCTCAATTCATTTTAATGAAAAAAGTTTTAATATAAAAGTTACACAAACCTTAAGTCATAACTGTAATGTCATGAATGAGCTGAATGTTTTGATACCTAAATAGCTGAAATTCTGCTTAAGTAATTGCAACAAAGGTAAAGAAGAAACTATAAACGAGAAGTTTTTCTTTCATAAAGTCCGAACATTCAGGTGTTAAAACTGGTTCCTGTTACACCGTTTGCTTTCAGGGTGGCCATAGACGGCCCGTTTGGTACCGCCAGCGAGGACGTGTTTCGTTATGAGGTGGTCATGCTGGTGGGGGCCGGAATTGGAGTGACTCCCTTCGCCTCCATCCTGAAGTCTGTTTGGTACAAACACATCCAGAACAACCAGGAGGTTTTCACCAAGAAGGTGAGCTTCACTTCGACTGCAAACTGCAAATATCCAACAATGTTCAGTCAGGTCATCTGGACAGTTTATTTAGTTGCTGAGACGTTTCGTCCTTCATCCAAAGGACTTCTTCAATCTGAGGAGCCACCAAACGAAACTGATTCCCACAACAGAATACTCCAAAGTAGAAAAAAAAACGGTTTGCTGATGCTAAGATGGCCTCCGGAGCCCGCCCTCTCCCCTGTAACAGTATGCTGCTGTGGGTTTGATTTGTTTGGTGGCTCCTCAGATTGAGGAAGTCCTTTGGATGAAGGACGAAACATCTCAGCAAAAAAAATAAAACTGTCCAGATGACCTGACTGACCATTGTTGGATTTTGTACCTGGATTATTGTGCATGAACTTTGATGTTTTGAAACTGCAAATACCTCTACTTCGACAAACTATTTAAAACGCAAGTATTTTATGTTGTTTTAGTTTGACTTTATACAAACAAAATGTTTATTAAACTAGCAAAACTCCAGATCAGCCTGATCAGGCCACTGAAGCCGGCCAATGAGAGCTCACTGGGCCTTTGGGGGCGGGGCTTCAGTATTTAAACCAAGGCGCACAGCTTTTTAATGTAGTTTTCATAAAAAGTGCACATATAAAGCAGTTTTATGGTTTCTTTATGTATTTGAAACAGTTCTGTGCCCAAATAAAAACAGAACCAATTTCTATTTTCCGTAGCGATTAGTTCCCACATTTCAAAGCGACTGAGACCAAAGAACCCTGGGGGTTTTGTTCTGATGCCAGGGTTCTGTTGCAGATCTACTTCTACTGGTTGTGTCCAGAGACTGAGGCCTTCGAGTGGTTCGCTGACCTGCTGCAGTCTCTGGAGCGACAGATGGCAGACAAAGACATGGCCGACTTCCTCAGCTACAACATCTACCTGACCCGATGGAAGGAGACGGAGGTACGAGACCAAAGAGCCAAAACATTATGAGCAGCTGGGTGCAGGAGACCACCAGAGTGTTAGGACGTTTTCATATTGAATAAAAACCTCTTAATGATGGAAAACAATGAGTAAAAACATGGACTCTCTTTGCACTGATACAACAGTTTTTCTTATCAACTACAAGTACATACATCAGAGTAGTTGATGATACTAAGTACAGATACAAGTACTAATACATTTTTACTATTCGTTCCAACAGATTGCCGTACTTTCCGGTCTATAAGCTGCTACTCTTTTCACAGGCTTTGAACCCTGCGGCTTATACAATGCTGCGACTAATTTATGGATTTTTATTTTGACAGGCTAGTGAGCTTCCTGCCACCAAAACATGTAGCTTCGTCACACCCAGGCACTCGCATAGCTACCCAATACATGCCTCTGTTGGAGGGGGGGGGGGTGTCGTCGTGACTCATTGAAACTACCTGTATAAATAAAGGTTAAAAAAAATCTGACCAATGAAATTACCGAATAGTTCACAATCGAACCAATGAAACGGGGAGAGGATGAGAGAACTGAGGGGGGAGTCCCTTGCATGCGCAGAGCATGCGAGTCTCACATGCTCACAGAGCAACTTGTACTCCGTTGAGCATGTGAGTTTCACATGCTCACAGAGCAACTTGTTCTCTGCTGAGAATGTGAGTCTCACATGCTCACAGAACAACTTGTGCTCTGCTGAGCATGTGAGTCTCACATGCTCACAGAGCAACTTGTACTCTGTTGAGCATGTGAGTCTTACATGCTCACAGAGCAACTTGTTCTCTGCTGAGAATGTGAGTCTCACATGCTCACAGAGCAACTTGTGCTCTGCTGAGCATGCAAGTCTCACATGCTCACAGAGCAACTTGTTCTCTGCTGAGAATGTGAGTCTCACATGCTCACAGAGCAACTTGTTCTCTGCTGAGAATGTGAGTCTCACATGCTCACAGAGCAACTTGTGCTCAGCTGAGCAGGAGAACTTGAGGAATATGAAGATAGCGATCAATGACTTCTTGGTAGGCTACTGTATTTTTTTAAACAGCTGTGTTGGCACTGTTCACGAAAAAAAGCAAAAAACATTTACTGTACGTAAAAAAAAAATGTGTTCATTGTTAATCATTTCAGTTAGCTGTTTAGTATTGTTCTTTTAGTGATTAGTCTGTTCTTGTTAGCTTAGTTTATGCGTTCATTATGTGTTAGTTTGTATTAGGCCATTCAGTAGAGTAACCATGAGTGAGGGAGGTAGTCAAAAATACCTGTGGGGTTCACTCCGTGTGTGTTGAAAAGTAAAATAAAGTAGCTGAGTGCTTCTCATTTACAATGTGAACACCTGCGGCTTATACAGTATATAAACAAAATTGTTTGTTTTTGTATTAGTTAGTGTGTGTGGCTTATATTCAGGTGCACTCAATAGTCGGAAATTACGGTAACTGGTTCCAACAAAAAATTTTTAGGACAACTGTGGCACTACTCTTACCCAGTATCATGGCTAAAAGCTGAAATATAATCAATATTCGAAAAACAAGACAGCATTTACTTCTTTAAAAAACATCCAGCTCAAACTGGAGACAGCAACAACGCTCACTCTTCTGAAGCATTAGCCTAGCATTAGCTTAGTGCCTTCCTCAGAGACCGTGTCAGCAGCTACTATTCATTAAGCAGCTATTTAGGCTCATCAATTACTCTCTTGTCAGTTTTGGTCATATTCACTCTCATTATTTTGTTCCCTCTCTTAGTAATCCTATGCGTCCACCACGCCCCTGTTTCGCCTCATAAAAATCAACAAAACGTGCACACAGAGCTGTCTCCCATAGTAAATACAGAATTCAGTTCTTGTAAGGAATTGTTTCAATACACCAGAATTTTGTCAAAGTGAAACCAAATCGTTGCGTCCGACCCAGAGTGTCCCTGGTGTCTCAGTATTTTTGTTAACCAGCACATCTGCAGCCAGGATGTCCGATAACCTGAAAAGACCTTCATGATGTGGTCTTTTAAGCATCTTTTCTGTTTCTTCCTCCATCAGGCAGCTCATTTCCGTGTCCACCACGAGGCGGAGAACGATCCGATCACCGGACTCAAACAGAAGACTCTTTACGGGAAACCAAACTGGGACAACGAGTTCACCAGCATCGCTTCGAAGCACCCAGGGTGAGCTTCAGCTGGAAAATGAAAAACTGAGAGCGTGGAAGAATGAGGTCACGCTTCCTTCCTAACTTTTGATGTGTTTTCAGGAGCAAAGTGGGGGTGTTCCTGTGTGGACCGCCTCAGCTCGGTAAATCTCTGGAGAAGCAGTGTTTGTCTCACTCTGAGGCCGATGTCAAGTTCATCTTCAACAAGGAAAACTTCTGAACACCTTCAGATGTTTCTTCATTGGTCCACACCACAGATCTCCTCTTCACTTCAACCAAAGTTGTTTGGTCAAGATCTTACTAAGAAAACACATACCCGTTCCGCTTTCCACTTCTTCTCTCTTTGGGGACATTTCAAAGCCTCTTTTCCTTTTGGTTTGGTGTTTACGTCTGCTTTAAATAGAAAGCTCAACAGACGGTGCCGTATCTTTGAGTTGCAAAAACAGCAAACATCCTGCCAGAGAAATAATAAAAACATTCGGAGGACACGCTGCCAACAGTGTTCTGGTTTCACCCAAGAACAGCTGGTGACATTTTCAAACAATCTGAAGGAAACCTGCAACCTGCTCAAACGTGGGAATAATTTTAGCTAGTTTTAAAAACAGATTGTGGATACAGTGAAACTTGATGTTAGGAGTTATAAATCCTTTACAACATGATCTTTTCTCTTTTTTTTTATCTATATTTAAAAAAAAAAAAACATGTTTGAAAGAATTTCTCAGCAGATAACAGAAATAAAATAATGAACTGATCGCCTGCTTTGGATTCCTCCCCTGAGAACTCGGTTGCCATGGTGATAGTTTCAACGAACAACACTCCAGCTAATGAGGCGTGGCCTGACGCATAAAAAAATATGGCTTTAGTATTATTTTTCCTGTCAGATCAATTTTATTTTCCTGGGAGTGGTGGTGCAGAGGTTATAGGAGGTGGGCCTGTGATCAGAAGATCGCCGGTTCAACTCCCAGTACCAACATCAAAATGTGGGTGGGATAGGTGAAAAACCCACACCTGTCTCCACCCTTATTTGCCCCACTCTGGGTCCTTTAGCAAGGCCCTTAACCCCCACACTGCTTCCCTGGGTTCCCTAGATAGCAGCTCTCTGCTCCACACAGAGGGCTGTGGTAGCTCGGTGGTCTGTGGTTGGGTCAGGAAGAGCATCTGGTGTAAAAATAATTGCCAAGTCTTCGTGCGACTTAGTTCGCTTTGGTGACCCCTGAAGTAGGGAGAAGCCAAAAAACAGGAAAAGAAGATCATTTTTATTTTCAAATAAACCTAAACAAATAAAATCCAACATCCTGGTTTTTTTTTTTAGGGCTTTGCTAACATCCTGTTCCTTTAAGCTAGCCTTTTGATACTTTTCATTTAAGCTACTTGCTACTTTTAGCATTTAGCAAACCATTTGCTACTGTTAGCATTTAGCTAGCCATTTGTAACTTCTAGCATTTAGTTAGCCAATTGCTACGTTTAGCATTTAACTAGCCATTTGCTACTCTTAGCATTTAGCTAGCCATTTGATACTTTTAGCATTTAGCTATCTATTTCCTATTTTTTAGCATTTTGCAAACCAATTGCTACTTCTAGCATTGAGATAGCCATTTGTTACGTCTAGCAATGAGATAGCCATTTGCTACTTTTAGCATTGAGCTAGCCATTTGCAACTTTTGAAATGGAGCTAACCTTCAGATAATTTTAGCAAGTGTTTTGCCACTTTGGGTTTTAGCTAGCCATTTGCTACTTTTAGCTTAGAGCTAACCTTTAGATACTTTTAGCTTTTAACAAGTGTTTTGCCACTGAGTTTTAGCTAGCTATTTCCTTTTCATTTAGCATCTTTTAACTTTTAGCTAGTCTTTGCCACCTTTACGTAGGCTTTAGAGCCATTAAGCTTTTAGCAAATGTTTTGATACTTGGATCAGATCTCAGGATTATTCTCAGGCATGGTCCACTGGTGTGGCCATTTAATTTGGACATTTCGGAACTGGATGGACCAACACAGACTAGGTAGATGTCATTAAAGTTCTGCCTGTGTCCAAAACAATCATGTTTATCTAAATTTAACTCCCTGACTGGCCTTGACAGGCCATCTTATCTCAACTCGCCTGGAAGTTTTGTAAACCTGAACCTCTGCCCCCCACCCCCACCTACTGAGGAATTTCCATGGACTTTTCAGAGGGGCCCAGATGAATAAACATTCTGTCATCATTTCAGGACTCTTTGGATTCGTCCTTGGTCGTCCTCGACATCCCCCGAGTGTGTACGGATATCTCCAGAGGGAACTATTTGAACTGAGTGATTTTATCTGAACTCTGCAGTGCCTCTGTGGGTTGTCTCTGACTGTTCACTGTCCTTGCGTCTCCCCTCTGCGTAATGTCGGCGTCATTATGTGCTAGTGTGCAAGATTTTTTTTTTCATTATCACGCTGTTGACCTTCAACCAAAGATTAAGAGCGTTAGGATTTTTTTTGTCTCCAAACCCTATGCGTCCTTTTTCACCACTTTTTATTGTCTGTACAAACAGGTCTCACTTGTGAATGAGTCTTCGAGGCTCAATGTAATTTATCTGTTTAAATAAAGGTTGAATTGAATTGAAAAATTGTAGCTAGCATTTTGATTTTTTACCTACACCTTTTATGCTTAAAAAAAAAAAAGTACTTTAAATGAATTGACTAAATTTAGCTTCTTGCTAACCTTTTCATATTTTTTAGCCTTTGTATGCCTTTTGATGCTTGTAGATTATAGCCAACCTTTGGATACTTTTAGCTAGCCTTTGGCAAGTTTTAGCTAGTGACTTCAACAGCCATTCAGCTGTGGTTTCTCTGTTATATATATATATATATATATATATATGTGTGTGTGTATGTGTGTGTGTATCTTTTTTAAAGGTTTTACTCTGTATATTTATAGCTACTCGTGGCTAAAATAAGTTTAAGTTTTTCTTGATAAAATGTTACCAGGAGTGTTTTTAACACGTTAAAACTGCTGAGAACAATGAAGCTAAATAAAAATGTCACATGTTGTTCATGAACTGCAACCTTTAAGTGTTTTTGATTCTTCAGATTTTCTTCTTAAGAAATTACTTTCTGTGAACAAAGAAGCTTGAAGAACGGTGCAGGACAGAACATGAATTTCTTTTTCTTCTATCAACTTTCAGCACCTCTAATCTCACAGAAGCCTGAAAACGTTTCAGGGCTGAACAACAAGTTTGTTTTCTGATTATTACATAAAGTCGCTGTAATCACTGGTCAATACAAACAAAAATATGAGATTATATGTATATACAGACCCTTTCCAAAAAATTTGAATAGCATGGAAAAGTTGTTTAACTTCCATAATTCCATTCAAAAACTTAATATTTAATAGATGATAGATTCAGGGCCCACAATTTAAACAATTTTATTTATTTGTTTATTTTTACATAATTTGAGCTTCCAGCTCATGAAACCCACAAAAACAGGATTTAAAAAAAATTTGAATACTGTGGAGAAATCAGCCCAAATTTTGAAGGACATTAATGTTTTAAACTGAGTGTGACACAATAATCATCTATTAAACTCAAAGCACCTGCACAGGTTCCCCAGGTGTCATTAAATTGCTTCAGTTTGGTTCAATTGTCTCAGTTCGGTTCAATATGGGGAAGACTGCAGACATAACTGGCCAGAAGACCATCGTTGATACCCTCCATAGGATGGGTAAGCCACAAATGTTCATAGCTAAGGAGGCTGGCTGTTCACAGAGAGCTGTGTCCAAGCATATCAATGGAAAGTCTAGTGGAAGGGCAAAATGTGGCAGGAGAAGATGCACCAACAAAAGAGATGACCAAGGGCTTCAGCGGATTATCAGAGAAGATTCCAGAATCTGGCAGAGATCCAGAAAGAGTGGAATGAGGCGGGAGTCACAGCTTCAAAAACCACCACATTCAGACGCATCCAGGAGATGGTCTACATCTCGGTCCTCTTTTCTGATGAAAGTAAAGTGTCCTTTCATTCGGAAATCAAGGTCCAAGAGTTTGGAGGAAGAAGGGTGAGGAACAGAACCCATACTGCTTGAGGTCCAGTGTGAAATATCCACAGTCAGTCATGATTTGCGGTGCAATGTCCAGTGCAGGTGTTGGTAAACTCTGCTTTTCCATGGTCACCGCAACAGTCTACCAGAATGTTTTAGAGGACTTCATAATTCCTTCTGCTGAGGATCTGTATGGAGATGCAGATTTCATTTTCCAGCAGGACCAGACCCCTGCCCATGCTGCCAGAAGCACCAAAACCTGGTTTGATGCCCATGCCACAGTTCTTGACTGGCCAGCCAACTCGCCGGACCTAAACCCCATTGAAAATCTATGGAGTATTCTCAAGAGGAAAATGAAGGGCACCAGAGCAACAACAAAGAAGAGCTGACAGCAAGCATCAAGGAAATCTGGGCTTCCATAACTCCCAGTCAGTGCCACAGGCTGATTGACTCAATGCCACGTCGCATCAAAGCAGTGATTAAGGCAAAGGGATTCCCAACCAAGTATTGAAGACTGACATATCATTTTGAAAGTACCATATTTTGATTGATTTGTTGTAATCTTAATTTCTTTCTATTTTTTTCTGCAAAAACTGAGTAGTGTGGGCTGATTTCTCCACAGTATTCTAATTTTTTGAAATCCTGTTTTCGTGAGTTTCATGAGCTGGAAGCCCAAATTATGTAAAAATAAACAAATAAATACTAGAAATTGTTTAAATTGTGGGCTCTGAATCTACCGTCTAATAAAAATAAATTTTTTGAATGGAATTATGGAAGTTAAACAATTTTTTTCATGATATTCTAATTTTTTGGAAAGGATATATTTATAGTGTCTATTGTATCGGTGAGTTATTTAGGTGGAATGGCTGATGTCCGGGCGCTGTACAGGTCTGTCGTGGTGAAGAGAGAGCTGAGTCAAAAGGCGAAGCTCTCAATTTACCGATCGATCTACGTTCCCACCCTCATCTATGGTCACGAGCTTTGGGTTGTGACCGAAAGAATGAGATCTCGGATACAAGCGGCCGAAATGAGTTTTCTCCGCAGGGTGTCTGGGCTCTCCCTTAGAGACAGGGTGAGAAGCTCGATCATCCGGGAGGGACTCGGAGTAGAGCCGCTGCTTCTCCACATCGAGAGGAGCTAGTTGAGGTGGCTTGGGCATCTGTTTAGGATGCCTTCTGGACGCCTCCCTGGTGAGGTGTTCCGGACACGTCCCACCGGAAGGAGGCCCAGGGGAAGACCCAGGACACGCTGGAGGGACTATGTTTCTCGGCTGGCCTGGGAACGCCTCGGGATTCCCCCGGAAGAGCTGGCCCAAGTGGCTGGGGAGAGGGAAGTCTGGGCCTCCCTACTTAGGCTGCTACCCCCGCGACCCGACCCCGGATAAGCGGAAGAAAATGGATGGATGGATGGATGGCTGATGTCCGATATTTAACTTTATTGCTAATATCGGCTGATACCGATACCACGATATCGTGCATCCCTATCCTAAAATAATTTAACTTGGTTATAAAGTGTGGTAAATATACAAAACTTTAGTTGCATAAAATTTATGTAACGTTTGTCTTTTGTGCCACTTTTATTTTCCTCTCTAGTTAATTTTTTTTTTTTTTGCAGGACTTTTACAGAAGCAAAACACAAGAGCCCATTCATGAAGGTTCCATCTCTGTGCTTCACCGTTTGTTTAAATCCTCTCAGTCCGTTAAAAAAAGCTGTTTTATGAACAGAATTTTATTTTATTTTTTTTTCTAATCTGTGTTGAGTTTCAGGGAAGTTTCAGCCCGTTTTCAGGACAACACATTCACTCATGAGAAGCATCTGACGCAGAAAACCCGATTCGTTCCTGCTGCCGTCTCATGATTCCCCCTGAGGCTGAGACGAAAGCTTCATGTTTGTTTTTGATTCTTCAGAGGGAAACTTTAATTTATTTTTTTTTTACTGTGGAGCTTTTAAAACCAACCAGTAGTTGGTAAAAAAAATTTAAAAGTATAT